AGTCGGTTAAATATAGTACTAATTACAAGAAACAAATTATGTGCATGTAAAATTGTATCTCTTCTATTTAAGCATAAAAAGGTTATACGGAATTAGTCCGTTTGGAGATCTTTAAACCTGTCTCCTGAAAAGTTGTCATTTTGCGGATGTGGCCTTATTACATCAGAGCGCGGATTTGGGAAATTAACTTTCCTAAATTGTATCTAGTTTGAGTGTTATGGAAAATGCCCCGGAGTGAATTCCGTTGCTCTGGTACTCAAAGTACTATGGAAATTTCCCAATTTATGTACAGGTTGCTTTACATATTATTATTAATATACAAAATTGTCAAATATAGTAAGGTCTCTGTAAGTTACTCAACACTCTAAACAATTAATATTAACACGTCCCGTAATGTAATGACAATATAAACCCGACGTAAGGTACGTACGTGGTAATGATTATTGATATCAGATACAATACATTATCAATTTTTATTATATAAAAATGGAAATATTAGATAAATTAAGCGATTCAATAAACAAGATGCCATATATTTATTGAAATTTTTTTGCGAAAAAACTCCACTAGTTTTTTCTGTGTGTTCAATCATTGTATTCATAATAAAATGCCATATGTTTATAATACATACATTAGGGTTGTCTCAGTGAACAGAACAACACCGCCGTCGTGAAATCGTCATACAAATTAAACTCTACTCATTCGTAAGGCAGATTCCTGTATATTAACGCCTTATCCGCGTACTCAATTCATCTACGTAATTTCCGGTGGATTCTTCCCTAGCGTTGATTTCCCGTCAGCGTGGCAGAGAGCTAGTGAAACCTGCTAGGCTCTGAATATGTAAATCAAGTATTCGGTCTTTGGAAATACTTTTTCTGCCGTGCTCGACTAGTGTGCAGGTGGTGCCGGTAATTTCGTCTCCTTTTTTAACCATTCGACGTAATTTCGCGACGATCCACCACCAATATAAGTTTGTATTAATATCTATTTTATACCTAACCAGTGAGCTACGTTACCCAGGTGGTCAACTGATAAAATTTCACGTCCTTGTGTTCCGATTTAAAAATGCTCATCAAAATATTAAACTTCTTTATCGTAACGGACGACATGACGTATGGCTTGTTTTTTGGATCGCTTCGTATAATTCGCTTATTAGATAGAATGGAGATATAGAAAAACAGCGTGTTTAGTATTTTAGTGAGATCTGAAATATTACTTTGATAAATATTTTGATTTAATTATTTAAAATACCTATTGATAAGATGCTATATATCGTTACAGTAACTCTTTTATTGTCGTCAATTTATACCTATGACCGTCCTACAGGATACAGGGTAGCGAGAATACGGACTTTTCAAACATTTATCTGACTTTGGGTCTCGGACTACCCAATAAATTAATGCTTACTTTATATTTTTTACCCTACCTACTTATAACGTAAAGCGATTCTACAATTTTGTCATGATACATGAAAATAGCTCGTGTGACGTCATTTTTTTTAAATAAAATTTACATCGTGACGGGTACGTCATCGTTTCTTTGTTACTGGTGGTGCTAGTGGCACTGAAATGTACTAATGTCACCCCTGATAAAAATACAAAATGACTGACATTTTGTCATAGTTTACTTGTAATAACATAATTTTACTCCTAGATAGTATTGAGTGTCGGGGACGTTTTTGAAATCGTTTCATATATTTTTTCTTATTTCGCATTTTTATATGTGAATTAATTGATTAAAATATTATAAATAAATAATACTCATCACAAACGTTCAATACAATCTTGTGAAAATGTGTTATACATGTCGTACCTAGTTTAGATTTCTGCTTATTTAATGCTTGTTAATAAATAGGTATCATTTTTGTTTGTTACTTATATGCGTAATGTTTACCCAAGCAGTCAATATACTGACTCTCTTATTAATAATTTCTGTACAACCTGCGTCTCCACAAATGAATAATGAATTTTAAAACGTTAGTTATGATGGGACAATTTTTTCTTTTAAATTGAGAACGTTCCTTACAGTACCACTGCGCACTATAATCCTCAGGTGTAAATTTTAGTGCTAAAGATGGCACTAGATTCGTACACCAAGTACTAAAATTGTTCTATTTTGATAAAAGATTTTACACTTATTTCACTGTGCATGCACTTAGCCAGCACTTTGTTGTGGACCTTTTATCTTACCTACTATACATTACCGATATTATTATATAACAAATGTAATAAGCAAAATTATTTTAACTAACATCAATGACCATGGAACGCGAAAATGACAATAACACTGTATGATAAGGCACCACGGTAACCATGACGCAAAACTTAAGCGTTTTTTAAATAATATATTGTAATATAGCAACACTATTTTACTTGTCAAAGAGGGTTAACGAAAAATAAAACATAAATTGAAAAAAAAAATCATTTTTACTAAATAAATAAAACTGAGTGATATTATTTAAATCAATGAAAATACACTGAAAAGTTTGTTCGAGCACAATTCAGATTTTTTGGTTAATTCACTGAACACAAAATGGGAAAGGGAGAATAACACACTCGTGAAAATTAAAAGTAACGATTTCTAACAAACTTATACACGAAATGATAATGATTTATTGACAAAAAGGTCAATTCTGTTGAATACATTTCGAAACTAGAGTCAAAATTTTCAAAATCAAACAGGTGTCTTTAATATTCAAAATACATGTAATAGCAAAACCCAGGCTGTTGTTTCTGCTCATCTCGAAAGGAAAAGTGTGTGACGTGTTATCATTTACAGGCCGGTATTTTCAACAATTAAACAATCGAAGAATTAAAGGACAATATTAACATTATTATACACGCATAAGAGGGTTTTTTTATGATATCAAGTGATAGGACGAACAAGTCGTATGCTTGTTCTAGGGTGCTGCCACTGCGCCCGCCACCCTGAGACACAAAGTTGACAAGTCGCATGTGCCTGTAGTTTAAGCAGCACCCCTTCAAAACCAGAACGCAGTAATGCTCACATTACTGCTTAACGGCAGAAATAGGTGAAAGAAAATATAAAATATAAAAAAGATGAGCTCTCAAAATGACTTCTATTGCTACTAGGACAAATTAATTTCAAAAATATGTACTCAACAGAATTAACTTCAGTTGTGCCTTATAATATACCTATTACAAAATAATGTCTTAAAACAATGTTAGTTTTTCAGTCTGTCAATAAAGTACATCAAATTGTTAGTTTATTTTCTAGTAACGTGAAATCTGACTGCGTCAAGTCCAAGCGTAGTTAGGCTTGTGCCCGTTTTAACTCGACTGCACCGAAATTAAGGGCAGTATTATCTTTGAGCGATGTTGGTGTTGTGACGCCGGAACGGTGACGCTGCGTTGTATTGCATATAAATCAGGACATGCGTTGAAATGGCACGCGGCGACGGAACACGTGCACATCGGACATGGTCTCAGGAGACGAAGCGGGGAGGGGTGATGCGGTGCGAAAAGGGCATTACGTTACGACACCGCATTGCTCGTGCGTTGACGTCCGTGAGGCATCGCTCTTACCCAATTTAATTATTAACAAGTTTTGGGAAGTTATCACCCCAATGTCACGCACATCGATTCAGACATAATATTGTAAACGGGCTCAACTGGATTCGCCATTTGATTTATTATTTAATTGTGGCTCACCAACTCCCTCGAAGTTATACTGATACAACGCCAGCGATTCTTTTAACACGAAAACATTGATTTCAAAAATTGTACATTAAAATATAAAACAACTGTCAAAATACAATAAATGTGCGCTGCAATAAGCACATCGCTGTCTTTTGTACAATAAGGCAGTATTGCAGGGTACTACGATTTTGAACTAATCAAAATCATCCAACGATGGGCAGATCAAGCGAAACTTTATCGTGGATAAAACGGCCATGTTTGTTTTTTCTCAAACATGCTCGGAAATGTTTGCATTACTTACAAAAGGGGAACCCACAAAGTTTGTCATTTATGGAGTGTGAAATTCTTTGCCAGCCTATAGGCCGGGCATGTTAATCCATTTCTGTCCGCTGCTCTATGAATACATCTACCAACAAAGAGCTAAGTAAACAGACTAAAGAAAACACTGTTATAAAACCGCTTATCTGTGTCATATTATCTGTGGTGTTTTTTAAATTGTGGTATACACGAACACGTGTAAAATTTATTACAGTGCTTTGTTACTTCTTTTTTTCTGTATTTTTTATATTTCCTTGCTTGCTTGTTTGAGAAAAGCACTATTTATACGTAGGCGGGAACGGGAATTGCCCGATTCGTGTAGTGCAATTGTAACTCATACTCGTCAATCCTTTACTTCCCGACCTCTGCAGTAATATTATTGTACAGCGACTTGACAATAACATACTGTAAAAAATATAATGTCCATAATTTATTACCATATTGTCTTTAATTAGTATAATGATTGATATCCCGTTTATTCAAAAGTTTATACTATCAAATAAGAAACTTAAAAACAAATTACAACACTTCGCAATAATAAGGTAATTAAAATTTATCGATATCGAATTTAACAAGTTACATTGTTTCACCCTTAAAAGGCATTTCATTATTAAATCACTGTTTAAGTTTTGCATTTTTTTTATTCTTATACAAGGATCCAAATGTAACGTGTCAACCCTTATTTTAATTAGAGTATAATGATTTCTAGTAAATATTTATAGCAAACAATTCAACCTTTCTAGTCTAAACTGACAATAATATAACTATCTCCCTTGCACCTATACAAATTGTATAAGGCAAAAAGTGAACTGTCACCTGTAATGAACAGCTGTCTTTCAAATTCAACTTTGTACTACCTAATTTTAATATAAATATCTATATGCATTTGTAAACTTTAACATTATGTAGAACTTTACATAGTAATGCTTATTATACGGGGTGTTTATGAAATAGACATCAAAAAATCATTTCATATTTCAATAAAAAGTATATGACATTAAAATTTATTGAACATAATTAAAGAATGCATTTAAAGTGTAATTGTGGTTAACATCAAGATTGTACTTACAATCTGCCCGCTACGACGTAATTTCCGATGTAAAATTTTTGATATAAAGAATCATAAATAATTCCAATTCTGATCAACATTTGACCATTACTGTATTTTTTTTTTATAAAAGCCGTTTCATTTTCGGTATTTGTCAAATACTCTTATTTGCGGTAGCGATTTTGACACGTGACTATTTAATTTTCTATATTACTAATTCTTAATTAATTTGTTGTCGATTTAATATACACCCTGTGTTTATTCACTCTTAATAGGAAAAAGCGTAAGCGACTCCCGCCAGGGGATTTTAATCATGGAAGAGTGGAAACCCGACAAGTCAGAATGCATAAACATCATCTCCATATTTAAAGCTAATGTTACACGGCAAAAAAATATCGATGATATCAGTACACCATATTGAAAAATAGTAACATTAATCGGACAGATTGTGTAATGCTTAATTAAAAAGCGCAAACAAAAATTATACTTATCGATAGTTTGTTAAGTTATAGTACTAATAACATCGATAACTGCGCATCACAAAAGCAGTACGAATGGTATACTGATAAGTGGGGTATCACTCTTATAAAATAATTCGATATACATATATAATAATGTCAATGTCATAATATCATATTGCTTAAAAATGCAGTTATATTCAACATCATTCCTATAATATTTTTAACACTAGTCAATTCGCGTTAATAATGCAGTACAAATTTACTGACAAATTCGAAATTCAAATTAACCAATCATATGACAGTATTTTGTTCTCCTCTCTTTGGAGTTATTCGTGTTTTACTGAAGTCGACGATTGCATTTTATCTATAAAAAAGTTGTCAAAGACTGGTCAGATTTTATCGGGACTAAAAATTTTCCAATGTGGCGAATCTAAGATGGCCGCTATACAAAACCTGAGTTTGCTGAATCTCTGCAACTATCAAATTATATACAACAGTGAATTGTTGAGCGAAATGATTATAATCACTTTAACAATGCAATTGTCAACTTCCTTAATACACGAATGACTCCGATGCTGGAACTTGGAAAATACAAAAACGAGTGACTATGATTTCATACGGACTCTTAAAAATACGGAATACTATGAAAAGAAATATTGGAAAACAAAATCTGTACAAGATGCAATTCAAAGTTGTTTCTGTATATTTTTTTTTTTTTCAAAAACATGTCCAAACTGTAGTCTTTAAATTATCAACTAAAGTCAACAAAGACTCAACACACGCGTTCCCGTAATATTGGCAATGTACAACAATACCTACTTAGTATTTGTCACTCATTATGCACTAATTCACTCACTGTCACTTAACAGTACTGCACTTTTTAGGTCAGTTTACATGGCGATTTTTCTCCAAATATTTTACGTTTTTAAATTGAATTGCTTTATTTGAATTAAAAGAAATAAAAACATAGCACCTCGCTATCACTTTCGTAGTGAATATAAGAGATATACGATTTTATTTCCATTTTAATATTAGTATACAAAGAAAATCCTCATGTAAAACAACCTTAGGGTTATATTGGTTCTGTTAATATGTTTCGGCTACGCGGTCGTACTTATACGCTATATTTGAAGTGATAACAATTTCGAGTGTGGCGGAATGGGTCGGGTAGTAGCATGAAAGTACACGCGCGACCGAAGCACGGTGCAAGGAAACCCTAAACGCGCTTGAGGAAGCCCCACGCGACGTGGAAATAGTGCAGCCCCCGCTAGGTGGCTTTCCAAATGGATGCTGCAACGATGTCCGCGCTCAGGCCGCTGAAGGCGATGCCGGCCAGGATGCCAGTGATCAGCGTGGCGGCGCCCAGCATGCCCGCCTTCGAGGCGTGCTCGGGGGCCACGTTACTGGAGGACCAGAACGCATTATTATTTTTTTATTGATGATCATACTAAGTGACAGGACGAACAGTCGTGCGCCTGGTGTCAAGCGACACGTCTGTCCATAGCAGTTGCAGACCCACACACAAGAGCTTTAAATCGCAAAGATCTGAGAGACACTGTCGCTGCGTCTGTCACTGTAAGTCATAACTTGCAATAGTAGGTATTGATGGTATTAAACTTTCAACAATATGCCAACAAGATAAAGTTTTTTAAAATACGTTAATTAAAAAAAAATTAAAAAAAAGTTTAAAATTAAAAAATTTAAAACTACGACCAAACATTATCAAGATTTTGTAGTGTTTCAAATTAAGAATGTGTGAGTTTTGGCGACATTGTTGTGAAAGCAGTGCCAAAAATGGCCGCAAGGTCACAGCTGATTTTAAAACATTGACAGATCTGCACATTCATTTTACCAACATAAAAATTGAGCGCGACAAACGAGATAAAAACGAGATAATAAAAACCAACAAATTTATATATATTAATTATTGGAAACTAAAGGAAAAAGGCGTTTTTAATACAGTTCAATACATGAGAGGAATTAGAAATACATTAATAACAACTAATATAATGTAAAATATATAAACACTGAAACTACTAAAACTTTTTACTATTAAAATAACTACAAAATTTTTTGTTTCGTCGTTTTCGCGGCGATGAGTAAACGACAAAGATTTCATATCGCAATTTCATATCGTTATCCTTGTTATTCAAAATCTATAATAATAGTTCGTTACCAAATAAACAAAAGAACGAATGACATTTCGGTATCTTACCGATTTAGATTTCGCAATAAAAAAATAAATTTTAATAACGGCAACATAGCGTCACCAACACAAATAAATATGTCACGGGGAGGTTTATCACACATGCATGTGTTATACTGCCATGCTACGGCCACAGACCGTTTTTTTTTATAATCTCAGTACAGAGTACTAAAAAAACCGACCTGAAAAGTATGTGGAATTAAGTATATTTGCTAAGTTTTATTGAAATATTCGCCACTATACAGGACTTGACACTGGAGATAATAAAAATCGGTTCTCACTACTCAAAGTATATTGAGAGAAAAACGACTTGAATTGGAGAAATAACAAAATCAACCATTAAAGTAATTGCTCCTAAATTAAAGTTAAGCGCTATTTATAAAAATGAATCTTCATGCGTAAGCAGCCACCCTTCGAGGTGGATAATTTTCTTCAAAATGAACAATGGAAATACCCCCTTTGCAACAAAAAAAGAATCATGTTAATCGGTTCACAAATACCGGAGTTATCGCGTAACATACATACAAAAAAAAGAACATAGTCGAATTGAGAACCTCGTCCTTTTTTGAAGTCGGTTAAAAAAGAATTACGTGAATCGTCTTTTGATTTCGATTATACGTTCTGGTATATGTATGTGGCTAGTGGTTCATATGAACGTTGTTATCATAATTTCAACCTTTTTTTAGTGTCTCTCTAAATATGTAAATGAGTATTCATTCATGATGGCTTCAATTATTGCCCTTGTACTCGATTGTAACACAATAACTTTGTTATTGAAACAGTAGTTCCGAACTTTGTGGCTAGATGGCAGTGTACCAAAATACGCGATTTGTGAATTTTCCCAAACTTATCATATTTCATTTTCAAACTGTGGTCGTCTGTGTGTAGTCCTTACCAACTCAAGTTCCTTAACTCTAATGTTGAGTAGAAAAATCCAAGATCTCACCTGCTAACATACATCATGGACAAAGAACTCGCGTGCCCATGCGTCAACCCAAATATAACAGCGATGATCCAATAAATGACGTCATTGTTGATAAGCACTGCGAGCGTTCGTCCTTCCTGGGGCTGGTAGTTGCAGACGAGAAACAAGGGAATGAATACCAGACGAGTTGTTGTTAGGACGAATAACCAGCGACGGCTCGGCTGTTGAGAAAAAATTAATTAAATACAATTTTAACAAATGTTTAAGTTTATTAAATGTTACGATGTTTGACCACCATTGTATTTAATATTCCGTGAACTTACTCCACTACTTTGTTATAATTATTAATACAAAGATCGAACACTTAGGGTCGTATTCTAGAACTCTACTCAGTGCTCAAGTTAGGATTTGAGTAGGGTTTAAAGCACTTGATATCATACTCAAGTCTTGCCAGTGTTGCCAGTGCAATCCTGACTTGAGCATTGAATAGAGTTCTAGAATACGACCCCTAGATTCTTTGACCCGGCTGGATTCGAACCAACGTAATAATAATAATAACGCACACACTCAACACAGCTCCGCACTAGGGAAACCTTGCGTCGCGGGCGCCATGGACACATACATAGACAACAGCAAATTACACCCAAACTCACGAGGGAAATAAATGTAGGCCATACAAATATTTCTCCCGGCCCGGGAATCGAAACTGGGACCTCTGCGTGGCAGTCCGGCATGGTAACCTTTCGGCCACGGAGGCAGTTCAGAGGCAGAGGCACGTCTCTTAGCAATCCGTGACAGACGCTATGCCATGCCAATTGAACCACGGAACGAACTTACGAATTTTTGTATGTGCTTGTTGCAGACCTTTGTTTTTCGTTTTAACGACTTTTTTGCCGATGGCGCTATCTGTGAGAAATCTATTTCTTCACTCAGCCAGGACCCTGTTTCAGAACTCTTCGACATTTTAACCGAACCGTTCGATTGGATATTCGATATCCAATTTCGAGTTAGACGTTCGACTCGGATACGATATCGTTATCCAACAGCGTTTACGAAGTTAGTCGGTAAAATAGATTATAAGAAAAATGAAAATCCTTTTATTTACAATTTTAAGACTTTAATCGCCTAAAATATAGGAATGCATTGGTCTTGCATTAAAATAAATCAATAAAATTGAACAAAATCCAGACATTATTTCAAATAATAAGAGATTTCCATATTACATTCTTGCTTTGTGAACAATAGGACGTTCGCTTCGGTAGCTTTCATTCGATAACTGTGTTCTGAATAACGTTTGTAGCCTTTGCCGGTCGAGAAGCTCTAGTATTCGTACGGGTGTGACGTCATTCCGGTTCGGTTTTGAATACGACAGTTTGACGTTCGATTCGGGTGTTGTGAATAAAAATCAAAAGAAATCGACAAGAAGTTGTCGTAAGGTACCTTTACAATGTCAGTAGCTGGTCAGAATGTCGCTTTCATAATTGTAATTTTTAAGTTCATTGAATGTTACGACGTTTGACCACCATGATATTCAATTATTTAAGCGATTTCTAACAATCTGACGATCGACAACAAGCCGGATTTTAGCGCTTGCCAATTGTCAATATGATTTACTAAACAGAACGGAATTCATATGTAAGTAATCATAATCCACTAGCCGTACCTACCTATACGTTGCAATGTACCTGAGCCCCAAGCCCGCTAATTTTAAATCATTATTATAGTAGAAGAATTATTCTTTGCACCGATGAATGTTATCTCTTGGAACGGCCTATCCTTTCTATTACAATACGGTAATATAGTACATTATGGCAGAGGCCGGGAAGTAAGGGATTGCTGGACGAGTATAAGTTACAATACAAAAAGACGACGTTCATTTTTAGCATATTCTAAGCGCCTGAAGAAGTATTATTAGCAATTACATGGAGAAGATAAACTATCATTTCAGAAGATAACTTTTTCAAAGGCGTTTTATTATGTAGTAAAAAAAAGGATGTTTAGGAAGAAATTGGGTAGTAAATAGTTATATAAAAAAAGTAAACTGTATACTGCTAGAACCTTAGAATAATAACGCATAGAATGATAGTTTAATATCAAACGAACTGTCACAAGTGAGGTAAAAATCAAATTCATATAGGCTAGTTTTGGTAGTAGGTTAATTTTCGGTTTTAGTGAATATTTATATAAAATACAAGTTGAAACGCGTTACTTCCTTGTGGAATGTGATGTTAGTATCTATTTTATGTTTGTGTGACGTATTTTTACACTCATTTAACGCACGTTTCGTCATTTTTAGCTAAATTCTTGGGCTGTTCGCGGTACAAGTTGACCTTGAGCACTGACGGCCCGCCCGCTCGAGTAGGCCCTTTGGGAGCGCTTCAATTTGCCTTAGCCTGTGCGGACTAGGTTTCTATGCGTTATTATTCTAAGGCTAGAACCATTGAAAACGTAAAGTGGTCAGCCAACCTGACATCACTTTCATCACGCCGGCCTCTTTATTTCTTTACCATTTCCATTAGCGCTAAGGTAGAAAGTACGTCAATAAAAGTACTAAATAGTAGAAATTAGGTAGTAAACAATGAGCTGTTTGATTTGTACATCTCGTTTGGTCCAGGCATCCTGACGGACACTGCCAACATTAGGTCTCGAAAGACCTACTTTACCTCAGTCCACCATTTTCGCTTTGTATGGTTGTCATTCTTTCGCGCAATTTATGTAAAATCGCAGAAAAATGCCTTGTTGTGCTGTTTTCTAGTGCAAAAATGACAGCCGCACCAAAAATATTAGCAGTAGTAGCATTTCGTATCACCAGTAAGTCTTATTTTAATAAATTTTCAATTTTCTGTTTATCGAATTGATTCAGATGTTAATCGTTCGTCGTAGGGCGGCAAGCAGCCGTCGTGGTGAATGTTCACTGATCCCACGGCGCCGACTCAACCGGCGAGAGGGAAACCCGGGGGTGTTTTAGTGGGGTAGGCCCTCCAGTCTGGAGGGAGAGTCCCCACATAACCCCTGAGTCTCCCTGGGCTCAGGGGTATCCATAAAGATTTCCCCCCGTCAAAAAAAAAAAAAGGTAGCAAGCAGCCGGCAAGATGCCAGCACATTGAATTAAATTTCAATATAAAATAAAAACGTCGTAACTTGCAACAAAGGTATTAAACTTTCAACGATATAGAGTCTGGGTAAAGTTTAAATTATATTAACAGTCCAAAATTTATTACATCTTTTTAAATTAAGTACTATGACCAATCATTACCAAGATTTCGTAATGTATAAACAAATGTGTTTGAACGCGTTTTTGCGACAGCGGTTCGGATTGTAATCGAGGCTTAAGGTACTTACTTCCATTGCTTTTTTTCTTCTGTCGCCCCATCACGTGGTATCATATTCAAAAAAGACCAGACCCAAATTAGAAAAGTTACCCAAATCGGTTCTACCGGGATTCGAACCCGGGACATCCTCATCCAGTGCCAACCCCCCGGCCATCGAGGTAGTAACGTAACTGATCTGAGATTAATTTTGGAAATATACCATTTGCCACAAGCCAGCGGTGATGTTCCCGATAGTAGCTGTTACGTTGAAGGTTAGAAAACAAGTCACCAAAACGAAGCTCTTGCCTAGGTAGTTGTCGGTGTTCACTGATACCACATCTGCAATAAACAAAAAACAAACATATAAAACAAGTGTATATTTCATAACATCATTATGTTTGTCAAGTTCTTAGGTTTTCGCGATTGTTGCACATAGGAAATGAAACTATTTTTCCGGATTCAAATCGCGTGTGGTGGTACAATCTCATCGAGTATATAACCAGAAATAGAGACGAAATAAGGGCCATATATTCATTCTTGTTTGTTATAATTGTCACTACAACATTAACAATCTTGAGAAAGAGTTCGTCCAGGGAAGTACCGCCACCTTACTTATTTTAGTCGCCAAGCAGTAAGGCTGCTAACAGATTGGCTAGATATTTGCATTAATTAAATTTTTATTGAATTGATATTCAATTATTTTTTGTGAAATCACTCCACTAGTTTGTTATAATTATTAATACAAAGATCGAACACTCAGAAAAAACACTCAGAAAAAATTTCTTCGATCCGGTCAGATTCGAACCGACGTCTTCTTGCATACCGTGCCAGACGCTATACCAACTAAGCCACGGAACGAACCAACGGACCTCACGAATTTTTCTATGTGCTTGCGTCGTTAATACAGCGAATAGCGACTGCTCTCGCCAGGACTGGTAGCTGTAAAGGTACTAACTGGGTGATAAATCTGCAATAGATTTCTCATAGATGGCGCTACGACTAAAAAGTCGTTGAAAGACCAAGTACAAAGACACGACGCAAGCACATAGAAAAATTCGTGAGGTCCGTTGGTTCGTTCCGTGGCTTAGTTGGTATAGCGTCTGGCACGGTATGCAAGAAGACGTCGGTTCGAATCCGACCGGATCGAAGGAATTTTTTCTGAGTGTTCGATCTTTGTATTAATAATTATAACAAACTAGATATTTGCAGTTAATGCGTGCAGTTGTAATCAATTTTATGCAGCCGAGACCTCGAATGTTTGAAGTTGATTACGACTTGACGTATTAACTGCAACGATGCAGCCAATCTGTTAGCAGCCTAATGTGCGCATTAGTGCGTTCCGGTTTCGAAGGGCAAAGGCGCTGGCGAAATTACAGGCGCATGGGACTTGTCAATTTATGTGTCAGGGTGACAGGTGCAGGGGCGTTGCCCATGCCCAAAACTCTGAATGGCACTCACTGCAACTGTGGCGCTATTTTATATAAAAAAAACGACCAAACGTTTGTAGAATCTATTTACCAACTTTTACTAAAATCGGTTTACCAAAAGTGAGTGGCCAAATGAATTGTTTAAAATGATAATATTTTGTCACCCTTAGTGGGAGTAATATTTTCGTCAAATTCAATGGGACCACTACCGATGTACCCCCCTTTTCAACATAAAAGAATCACCGAAATCTGGGGCCTTACCATGAACTCTTATTACGATTCAATTTAGGACCTAAAATGAATTGTTGTGAGACAGCGCTACATGAAGTGTATATCAGCATCCCGCTTTTTTGTCGTTACAAACCTATACTGAACTGTAATAAGAGATCATGGTAACATAACAAAAAAATACAATCGAATTTTAGAATCTCCTCCTTTTTTTGAAGTCAGTTAAAAATACTAATTATCTGCCGAACTTGTGTCCTTTACTATGTCTTTACTACATTCTGTCTATTCAGTGTATAAAACTTAAAACAAATACATTTTCTAAATCGATTTACCCGAATGCACAGCAGGAAAAACAGCCAACGTGACGAAGAAAGTAATAAACACGTTGTACATTTGAATCCAGATGAGCTTTAAGATAGACAGATACGGAGTCCGAAGTAATGCCGGGTTGTTCTGTTGATTGGCGGCGAGTGCTGGGTTTGCGAGGAACGTGCGTTGCTCCAGAGTGGTATGGTAGCGGTAGAATCTCTGCAAAACGTGAATAAATAGTTTATAATAGTCATTTTATGGGATGATAGCCGAGATAGGATACGATGGAGTTAATATTGTCTTTTCAGCTCAGTTTTGCCTAACGTGCCTTCGGGCCAGTTATACTATTGAATTACCGCATTCATGGCTCTAACCTTTGGATTATAAATAATAACGGTATGTATGGGGTACTAGGATAAACTAGTGTCACCTATACGTGTACTAACCTGTCCCATCTATATCATTACAGGTATAAATGGGACTGGTTAGTACACCTATACCATTAATGGTATAATTCAATGGTAGAACTGGTCCGTAGGCCTTCGTGACCAAATGTCGCGCTTTAAGCGGGACAGGCGTCGAGTCCCGCTTTTAAGCTTCGAGTCCCGCTGTCCTTAAAATACTTAAAAATTTCCCGGTTCAACAATATAGGACATACGTGATAATAAATTTTAAAAAAGGCGCGAAAGAATAAAATATAAAGAGCCATCCCACCAAACTACAAGATAACGCGTGCCAGTTTTCTTTTTAATTTAAAAATTTTTACTTAAGTTAATTTAAACCGGTTACTGTTTGCTGTCGTCGAAATAGAAATCGTTTTAAAAATACTCACATTCAAAGGTAAAGCGAAATAAGTATCAAAGCAGGCCAACAACACGAATATCCCGGCTATAAAGTAATAGATAGCCGACGTCCTCGGCGATCCCGCGAATTCATTGGAAATCCAATTTATGAAGACTGTGATGCAGCCCGCTATATTTGACCCCAATACAACAGAGCCTGTATATCTTGGAGGCAGCTTCGCGGCCACACCGTAAACCGAATTTTGGAATATTGCGTTGAAAGCTGAAAAATAATAAAGAACAATAAAGTATATTTTCTCAAATATGGTTGAAAATGTTTGCATTGCTTTTAAAAAGAGAACCCATAAAGTTTGTCATTTGTGGAGCGTGTTACATTGTTAGGCAAAATAAGTATAAATATCCATTACTGACTTTCAAATATATCTACTAACAAAAAGTTATGTAAACAGCATTGACTTACAAATAAAGTCAATGGTAAACAGACTAAAGAAAAACTGTCACACAGCCAACTGCTCACTAGCATCAGTGTATGTAATTGTGAGAATTAAAAAATATTGAATATGGTATTAGTTATTTTGCGTTTAATAAAATTATGGTGCACTATATACCTACATCGCATACTTAATAAAATGGCGGTGAAATAAACGAAAGTACTTTAAAATTCTGTTTTTTATTTGTACTTTTTATATTTTCTTCGCGAATGACCTCTAGAGAGAAGGAAAATACAATAGTGAACTGTAGTGTAGTCCGCCTGATTTAAAATAAGAAGCAAAATTTGTCATGGTAAGACATATTCAAGATGCTCTTGAGATTGCGGTGCAATTGGTATGTTGTTTCACAGTAAATCACTGCTTGTTCGCGCTCTGCACTGTCTTAATTGAAGGTGAAGGTGAAATTTTGTGAAAGGATGTATGAACGTCTGTCATCTGTGAATTATTACAAATTCTCTATTCAAGAATTTCACAGTGCCTTGACATTTTGCTGTAATGCCATTGACTTACAAATAAATGGACGACGGGTCTAATACAAAAACCACGAACAAAATGTCCCAAGTCAACCTATTTAAACGTAGTGACATGTAAAGGAAAATGAAAAAGCTAAAACGTTGAATTTAAA